TCTATTATGGAATTTTCAAGCATTAACCAAAGTAGAGAATATAATTTTATGAATCTGATTTGCTATTTTAACCAGCTTGTTACTGACCAATTCATGGCCAGTCTTCCTTCATCTATACTTCTACACACTTCTATGTATTCCTAGTTGTTGTTTTAATTAAAGTATGACTTATATACCCCAATTAATTTTTAGGAAATTGCAGACATTGTTTTATTTCCTTTTCAAATTTCTGCATGAATCTCCCAACATTAGTGACTTAATACTCATGCAAGCCAGGTGTGGTGGCTCATGCCAATAGTCCCAGCTACTTAGGAGGATAACAGAAGATCGCTTAAGCCAGGAGTTTGGGTTCAGCTTGGGCAACATAGGAAAAAAAAAAAAAAAAGAAAACGCACATAGACCCATGATACTGTCATCACTTAAGACAAATTAGCCACAGTGCCCTAATGCATCAAATATCTAGTTTGTTTTCAAGTTTTTCCTATTGCCTATAAATTGTTATCAACACCATTATTATTTTGTAGTTATTTAAGTGGGACCCAAATAAGGACTATACTTTAAGATTAGATGAACTATGTCTTAAGTCTCTTTATGTACCACTTAAATCTTTCTTTACCTTGCAATTTTTTTTCCAGGGATGGGGATCAAAACCAAGTCCTTGAATATGCTAGGCAAGTGCTCTATGCTGAATTACACACTCAGCTCCACTTGTTTTTTAATTGAAGAACCTGCTTTGTTTATCTTGTATGTTTCCCACAGTCTACTTGCATCCATTGTTAATTTAACATGTTTTTCTATCCCCCATATTTCTGTAAATCTAGAACTTTGATCACTTATGACTAATTTATTTAGCAAAATACTTTTCATCAGAAGGCAAATGTATACTTCCATCAGGAGGTGCATAATTTTTGTCAGGTTTTGTGATCCTAACAGCCATTGTAGTCATCGCCTTGACCTAGTGATTCAACATGAGTTACAAATGATGACAATATAATCCTATCATGCATTTATTAGCTGGAGTCCCTTAATAAAAAATATAAAAATCCAAGCAGAATACAAAATAAGATGCTAAAACCAGATATAATTGTAGTAAGAATAAAAAAGATAAATTTGCCAGCTTTAAGAGAATGATTGCTGGACTAAATATAACAGAACCTACTTATGTGTCATTTGTAAATGGCAGACCTAGAACATAATAACAGAAAATTTGAAAGTAATAAATAGAAAGATTTGTCAGGAAAATAACTGAAAAAAGGAGAGCTGTATGAATATAAGATAAAAAGCAAAAACATTATACAGTGATAAATGATTTAACTCACCAGGAAGACAATGTAAGTAAATTTTGCTTACATTTACTAAACAGTATCAGAACACTAGAAGAAGATCTTACATCCTTTTTAGTGATTGGTAGACAAAGCAGATCAGATATTAGGCTGGCAGATTTGAACCACATACTTCAACAAACTTTTTAAAAGAACACATATAGTACATTCTATGCAATCACACATGGGCTATCTACACTGACTGTGTATCAAGCCATTAAAAAAGTCTACACAAATTTCAAAGGCTCAATTATTGAATTTAATAATTTCAATATACCCAACATAATTTCCATGATCATATATTTCTAAAATCAAATATGTGAAACATATAGAAGAGGCTTAAAAGTTCATTTTACCCTCTGATGTACTATTATAAAATCTTATTTTAGATTCTATTCTGTGGCAGATTGAATCAGGTTTCCTGTAAATTCCCTCAAGTGTTATTTGAAGTTGGCCTATTACATGGGTCTTTGTCCTGACCCATTATTATTATGCAAGAGCTTTTGTAGTTTTTATAATTTAAGATTTAGAATTACTGTCTCAATCCCTCTACTCCTGGCTTTTGCATTTCCCCCCAACCATCTGTCTCACTCAACTTCATTAAAGAGGAAAAAATTTGGCTTCACTTTCAGGGCTGCTCTAAAAAATCCCACTGAGGTATAAGGAATAAGGATTTATAAAAACTTTTCAGCCAGATACCAAAGATTCTGTTCTGTGTACTAGAAATTGCAGAGCTCGTGATCAAGTGGTGCCTTGGCCTGTCAAAAGCAAACTTCAGCCTGAGATTGACTAAACAGATAGTTGATTTCTAATCACAAATACCTTATTAATGAATTTCCACTTGTACAAGAGATTTTGAAAGGAACCTACCACATAGGCAGTAATGATGGAGAGACACAGTGTGTCAACCCTTTGGCCCATTACAATTATGTTAATATTTTTGACCGCAAAACTTATTCTCTTCAGTACTTTCCCTAAAGTATCATCAAATGTTAATACTCAGAAACATTGTAATTTGACTTTTTATAGTTTTTCTCCCTCTAAAGGAAAAGTATAGTATACAAACAAGTTAGGAGACCTGGGATAGGATCCAGCTCTGTGGGACCTTCAGGCTTAATTCTTCTGTTTGAAGTGACACTTTTGGGGTCTTCTATGAAGCTCAGTACGACCATATTCTTATCCTTCCCCCTTCCCAGTGTCTTGGTCCTACTCTGACCCCTGCTGATCCACCTCCCTTGTCATGTTCTGGCTACGGATGGTGTGATAAAGAATGATCCATTACTCACCCTGGTCAATGATGTCCTTCTTTGAAGTGTTCCTAGTCAGGGAGAAAGACAGACAGTTAGGCTGTCATGGCCTCTAGACAGAGGTGATAGAGATGTAGGAGTTGTGGAGTGACTGTCTTCTATTGTGAGAACTGAAAAGTAGAGAGAGAATGCAAAGAGAGTAACAATGTGGACAAAGAGAGTGACAAGACAGGACAGAAATGAGGAATGAGGGGAGAACTATGAATTTCCAGGAGTCAGTTCTGGGACCTGAGTGTTTGGCACATACCTTACCTGGGGTTACTGGGACTCTGCTGAATCACAGAATAAATGCCAGCCTTTTGCTTACTCTTGCTCCGGGTGGTGTTGTTACATAAAGTCAGAATCCTAATTGATAGAGTGGGCTTAATCATTTCCATGTGCCTTGATTCTGGAGCAGTCAAATGGAAGCAGCATTTACTTCCTTCTCTAGATAGGGCCATGAGCTACCATGAAGGTTTTTTATACTCTGAAATAAGCTCAAAAAAGCTCTACTCTTTTGTCCTGAATTCTAAGTTCTTGTCAAAAACAAATGCATAGCCTAATCTGAAGATAGTAATTTTGCTTTGCTTCATGTTTTGTTTTTCTTTGAGACAGTCTAGTCTCCCTGTGTAGCCCAGGCTGACTTCAAGCTCGAGATCCTCCTGCCTCAGCCTCTGGAATGCTGGGCTTACAGGTGTAAGCAACTACCAGCAACGATGGTAATTTTGATTGAGAAACTAATTACAGATTACAGTCCTTGTGTAGGATCTTTTGCTCTGGCCCAGCAGTGATTGGTTCATTAATTTATATCAGGTTTAAGCAATCAGGACAACTTTGTGTGGCCAAAGACATATCGCTCTCTTTGCTGAATTCTAAGTCTCCAAATCAGTCTTGACAAAAGTATGCCACCAATCTTTTCCTTTCTCTATTGCCCCAGAGATCTGCATAAAGGTCTGGCTTTGGTCAGAAGACAGAAATACTTTGTTTTTACTGCAGTGACATAAAGTCATAGAACTAAAACAGGAAAGAGCATCTACAGGGTGAGATTTGACATAAAGCATTTATTTACCTTCAATTTCAAACACTTGCTCAAGAAAAAATTAAGAACACCTTGCCTCCTGTTCCCTTCTCCCATGCAGGCTTACCTTACCACTTTTAATTACTGAATACCTTGGTTTAAAACTGAATCTGTTTTTTAGACGTCAACTTAGAGCTTACTCTTTCCCAAATAGTAAGGATTAATCATCTTAATTTAAAAGTAATGCATTATTTTTAAAAATTTTCTACCCACTTTAAGATTATAAGGAGTTTTATAATAAAAACAGAGCCACAGAAATAAAACTAAGAAAATCTAAAAGGCCTACCAGAAGCCAATTAGAAAGAGAAGACAGATTCATGTAACCAAACCCAAGATAAACTGGTTCATAAAATCGGGCATTAAATTCATTTCTGAGTGAAACGTTCCAAGTTGAGAATGTATATAAAACTGCCTTTTTCCTAGTCCTCAGTTCTTATTGATAGGCTATTTATAGCATTGATACCAGAGAATCCAAAAACTATCACTTTTTTCCCCAATTATGTACTACATTATTCAAACGTTAAAATACAGAAAAAGGGCTGGGGATATAGCCTAACACACAGGAAGCCCCAGGGTCCACCCTAGCATGGCAACAACAAAAACCAGAAAGCAATACAATACTAACCCTCTCCCCATAAGTGAGGACCCTCATCAATCAAGTGAGAAGTTTCAAAGAAACTGAATATTCTCTGCCTGTCATGTCTTCTTGTCCCTCTTTTGATGTTTCTGAAAATTCTGAAGGTCACAGACATAGAAATTGAAAATACAAGATCAAGAAGATTTAAGGGATAGATTTTTGAAAGTTATTTTTAGAAAGTCAAATATAAGGTCATGTTCATACCACACAAAATTTATACAGCATTTCTAGAAATACCGTTTTCAGAAAAGAACTCAACGTTTATTAATCTGAGGCTTCTGCACACAATAAAATAAACAATACCTCAAACATCATTTAAATGACTTGAAAGGCAAGATAAGTTCCATTCAGGGGCAAATACATAGGAGAGATTATGTACATTTAGTCAACCTACACTATGCATCATTAATGGTCATGAAGGCGCACAGAGTCAAAAAGGTTTACATCATTTCTAGTCGGAGAACATTTTTTTTTTTTTGGCAGTTCTGGGATTTGAACTCAGGGCCTCACACTTGCTAGGCAGATGCTCTACCCCTTGAGTCACTCCATCAGCCCTGAAAACATTTCAACTAAAATGGCAGGATGTCACAACAGATCGCGAAACTTGCACTTGAGCATGGCTACCCCAAAGACTGCGTCTCCCTAGGACATGTTGCCTCGCTTCTTCTGCAAAGCTTTCATGAGGTCTGACATGAAATCCTGCTCCCCGCCCCTCCGGCGCCGGGATCCAGGGTTCTCCTGCCTCTTGGGGGGCACGGGAGGCCTTTTGGAGGCCGTGGGGGCGGCCTGGCGGGCTCCGGGGCGAGGCCGGCGGGGGCGGCGGGGTGGCGGCAGGGCCGAGCCCTGGTCGTCGCGAACGACGGCGGGGCGGGGGCACGAGTCCGGGGGCGCCTCGGTGAAATCGGGGGCGGCGGGAGCTCGTAGTCGTCCTGCACGGGCGGCGGCGGCGGGGCGGCGGCAGAAAGTCGTCGGGCGGGGCCGGGAAGCCGCAGCCGCCGGTGCCCTTGGCCTTGGGGGCATCGCGGGGCTGCTGCAGGTGTCTGAGGACCGGCGAATGGGAGGGGGCGGAGGCAGGCTGGACTTCGGAAGGTGATTGGCCCGGGGCGTTCCTGGGTCTTGGCTACCAGGGGCTGGCCTCTTATCCTTTAAACAAAAACGACAGCAGCATGCATTAGTCTTGACAGACATCACTAAGGAGGTGACATTGGGCGTCCTTCTATGGCTACCAGGGCTGGCCTCTTATCCTTTAAACAAAACGACACAGGCATGCATTAGTCTTGACAGACATCACTAAAGGAGGTGACATTGCATCAATATTCCAGGTCTTCCCCGCCGCCCCACTGTTAGTTTGGTGGACAGCCTAGCCCTCAGTTTCTGAGACTAAATGGTATAATTCATGAGACTTCATACTCACTCCTATTACCCAAGACAAGCTACCTGGGTCCTGCACACATGCTGGGACACATATTTCGGGGGAGGTGTGTCTGAGTTGAACTGGTTGGTGAAGCTCAGTTATGAGGTGTAAAATTATTTTGCTCCTATACCACACCCTCTAAGGGAGAGAGGTGGTTAAGAAGCTTCTCAAAATCTTCCCAAATCTTAAATGTCCTACTCAATTAGGGCAAAGAACATGGAGGTGTAAAAAATAATGAAAGTACTCTCTCTGAGCTACAGGTAACCTCTTTGCAAACCCAGGCACAAAGGATCTCTTCCTTAGCAGAGAACTGTTCCATAGGCTGTTGGCATTAGCACTGGGAGAACAAAGCTTACTTTTTCCAGACTGTGGACTCCTAGGGAAGAACCAATTATATGCTTCACTTCCTTTGCCATAAAAGCTTTATAGGAGGTATGGGGGGATGGAGTGGAGCTGGTCTATAGTCTTAATTTACCCTTTCTTAGCCATGTGACAATTACATCTAAAGTAAATGCCATAATCCCTATCATTATCTGTTTCAGGTCATAATGAGATCAAATCAAATAAGCACCGGAGTGAGTTCTGAAAAACGAAACTATGAAGCATGTGCTATTGGTAGAAATGAGGACACCAAATCTGGCTAAAGTCTACAGGGTCATAGCCTTGGTCTGCCAACACTGGAACTGATAATTATAGCAATGTCTATTTGTGTAATGCAACTTCTTCAGGAATTTCAGGCAGCTGAGCTGAAAGCTTTTGTTCAGTGATAATTATCACTCCAATTTAGATTCTGTTTTCTTTCTTCTCTGCTTAATAACCTCTTATCCCTGAAGAGTAAATTTAGAAATTTTTCTAAGATGCTTTATGATGAGTTTCTATTTTATTTCTTTTACTTAATTAACTGATGATGCGTTTAAAAAAATTCTCAACAGGCAGCTCAGGAATTGGTGTTCACACATAGTTAAATGATTTATTCTAAGGTTCTTTTATTTCTTTTGGTCTTTTAAAATTCCTTTCAATTGATATCACAAAAACAATGAATTTGTAATAATAGCTGAAAGTGCCCTGCAAGGCAAGATTGTCAGGCTTGAGAAAGTAAGAACATGAGAGAAACATAGCCTTTAAAGTCTGCAGGGGTTTTCAAAACCGGTAAGGCATTCCATAAACATCAAGGTTTAAGAATGATAGACAAAATGAACATGTGAATGAAGTACAAAATTACTGACGCTATGTACACGGACTGTAGTAATCGGGTGGTATATTCTATTGTGATTAAGGTTGTTTTGAATCACATGGGAAATAGTCACACAGGAATTTATATAGTCACGAGATATTTTGTACTGCATTAGTAACAGAGTTACAATTATTAGCTATGATTTTTAAATAGATTTAAATGAATCTTCATTAATCGCTTCTATTGAAAGCAGTTAGGGAGAATGTTACATCAATATGGCCTTTTTTATTTTTGTGGAGCTGAGAGATTGAACCCAAAGCCTCAAATATGCTAGGCAAGTGCTCTACCACTGATCTACATTCCCATCCTACCCTTTGGCTATTATTTTAAAATGTATTTTCCTCTCTGTCACCTTGCATATGTATGTAGGACGTTAACAGAAAATATAAAATGCACATTTTCTCATGCAATCCTTTCAGTAGTCTTTCATCTAGTTTTGGGTCCACTTAACACTTCCTACAGGGCCTCTCACTAACTGGTTGCCCTAATTAATTCAGAAAACAGTAAGTAAATAAGCAAAGGACTTTCAACTCAGGTGTGCCACTTTCAGTGACTTTATTTCACTAAAATCACTAAACCAGGAAAATCACTTCTTTCAAAATGGATGTAGCTAAATACCTCCCATATTTAACGTAAGTGCTTACTTTTTTCAGAAAGCAGTATGATGAGTTAGTTTTAACTTTTGATTCTAGCTCAGGTAACTTTAAGATAAACAAATGTAATTTCCTAAATGAAACTGTAGTACAGTGATTTCTCAGTTGTTGGAACTGTATTTGTTTTTTCAAGAGCAGTCATAAGGCCAGGTATGGTGGCAAACGCCTGTAGTCCCAACTACTACAGAGGTGGTGACAGGAGGATGGAGGTCTAAACCAATTTAGCCAGAAACCTTATCTGAAAAACTAAAAGTTAAAGGGTTGAGGGGGGGTTGGCTTAAGTGGTAGAGTACTTGCCTAGCAAGCAGGAGGTCCTGAATTCGATCCCAGTATGGGCAGGGGCAGGGGGTAGTTACTACAACGCTGCCTGTGGTTCAGAAAATGGACATGTAAGTACCAAGTTTGATAGACTTTGTGCTGATTCCTCTTTGGCCTTACCTTAGTTGTTTCCACATGTCTCTGGGCCTCTTCAAGAACAGCACTGACACAAGGTGCAGCCTGCGGAATCTGACCGTTGGGCTGACTGGTGCCTGTTTTAAGTCCTGAGGGGCAGGAAGAGAAAAGAGAAGAGTAGGCAAGGCATTTTCAGCATTCTTGAAGGGGAATATATTCACTTGAAGGTGAATACAAAGCAGTTTACATCACTAATGTAAATGACAGTCGCAGGTATGGTGTGGAACACAGGCCTTATGAAAAATCTGAGGTTCTGCTGGGGATACAGCTCAGTTGGTAAGCACGTGCTTAGCATGCATGAGGCCCCAGCATGAAATAAATAAATAGATATTTAAAAATCCGAGGTTGTATGGTAAAATTTATATGAGATTCAGCAAAGATTTAAGAAGGGCTGGGGATGCAGCTCAGTGTTAGATCACTTGCCTCTTACATGTGCAAGACCCAGGGTGCCATCCCCAGCCCTATGGGGGAGCAGGGGAGGAAAATCTGGAAGAACTAGGACCTTAGAGAATAGTATGTGCTGCTTTTAAAAGCTTTTTTGGGAATTAGAAAACATATTTTTGAAACATATTTGAAAACATATTTTTGTTTTAAATCCCAATGTTGGAGATTTTCCTGAAAGGTATGTATTAGTTTCATCCCATGCTGAGTACAGGAACAATTTTTTTTTAACATTATCCTCAATGAAAGGCACTTTGGACACACGCCACACTTATTTTATTTTCCTGCCTTTTAATTTTCTCTTTTTACCACAAAAGATCAACTCATTGAGGGTTTATAGGTTTTTGGTTTGGTTTGGTTTGGTGCCAGGGATACAATCCAGAGCCAAGCACATTTGTGGTAACTGAGCTACAACCTCGGTCCAAAGGTTTACAGTTTTGAGAAAATCTGGTACAAGAAGCAGGATGATGACTTCTCTGGCTTAGAAAGCACCTGGGGATGGCTACTTCCCACACACTCCTGTGACTGAACTGCAACCTGGGCCAAGCCATGAGGTCTTCCAGTCCTTAGCTCATGAAGGCAGAGATCTGTGTTGGTCCTCCTCAGTATGGTGATTCTGTCAAATACTTCCTTCTTCAGAGTTCTCCCACAATTAGAACCCAGATAGCAACTCAAGGATGGCATGTAAGGACTTCATGAGATTGGAGAGAAGGAATAATGAGGAAATAGGATAGAATTCCTAGTTTCAAAGTATCTCACTATAAACTATTAGGTACAAAATGAAAATAATTCATAGAGGAATTCATATAATTCAAAATGAATGTTACCACTGGTGGCTCATTCCTATAATGCTAGCTACTGAACAGGCAGGGATTAAGAAGACTGCAGTCTGAGGCCAGCCTAGGCAGAAAGTTACCGAGATCCCACCTCAGCTAGAGAATGCTAGACATGGTGGTACACCTGTCACCCCAGGTATGCAGGAGGCATAAAGAGGAGGATCAAAGGCCAGCCAAGCATATATGCAAGACTGTATTTGAAAAATAGCTAAAGCAAAAAGAGTTGGAGGTGTGGCTCAAGTAGCAAGACTTCTTCCTGGCAAGCACAGACCCTGAGTTCAAACCCCAGTACTGCTCCCTCCACCCCAAAAAAGAGTTGACGAACATGGCACACCTCTGATTGCCATTCTTTGAGGACACAACAGAACTTTTGGCCAAAGTGCATAACCTGAAATGAATTAGAAAGAAACAGACACATCTAAATTGAGGGGCATTCTAGAAATAAATGGCCATTCTTTGTTTTAGAAGGCAAATGTCTTGATGTTCAGAGAAAGCTGAGGCACTGTTCCAGGTGAAAGGGGGCTTACACACACATGATGACCACATGCAGTACACCATCCCGGGAGGAAGCTTTAAAACAACTGGCAAAAGTGAAATATGGACAGTAGTTCAGATAAAAGTATTCTATCAACATTGAGTGCTAAATTTCCTGAATTTCACACTTTTAACTATGATTAGTGAGAAAATCTTTTTTTTAAGGAAATACAAATTGAAAACTTAAAAGGCAAAAGGGCATCTCCTTTGAAATGTTTCAGAAAAACCTGTGTGTATTTGTAGTGTGTAGAAGAGGAATGGAGACAGAGGAATAAAATGAACATGGTGAAATATTAGAGCGCCTGCCTAGCAAGTATGAGTTCCTGAGTGCAAACCCCAGTACCATAAATATATATATGTATTATTTCAGAATAAAATGAGAAGAGATATTAGTGTCCATCTCTAAATTTAAGCATCCTGACTAAAAGCATGTGCTAAAAGCTTGAAGTCATTTTATAAGTACTAAAAATGCTTCCATGGCTTTCCCTAATAGAAAAATTTATCTGCAATAAATTACTATTG